GTTGTCTAACAAGACATTAACACAAGATCCCTTCTCTGTATCAATAACAAGAAGGTAGAGTTTCCAAGGTAAATAGTATATTGCTTGTTGAGATTGCAAAATATTAACTTGGAACTTTCTGTCTTTAATTTCACGACTGCATGAGATGTACAATTTCAAATGTAATACCTCGTGCTGATTGACTGAAGCATCAAAAAACAAGCTGCGCATATTTTGTAACTTGTTCTGAAAACATTTTGAGCTTTGCGGTAAAGTACTAGGATCCCATTCATGTAATATAATCGAGGAAGCATTTAGTACGTCTCGTTTATGAAATATATATCTAATGCAGTATGAGCTTTTGGCCTCAGATTATGTTTTTCTATTTCAAAGTTTGATGCAAACTGAAATATGATTTAATTGCTTAAAATTAATACTTTTTTTCCCCGCAGGAGGGCACAAGACAGACGATGAAGAGACAAGGATGAAACCTGCGGATAGAGGCAGCGTCTGAAAATTGGACATCTACAATATTTCTTCTTCTTCAATTCTTTCCCTGAGAGGTGAGCATCAGCTTTATTTTTATTCAGATGTCTCTTAAATTCATGTTTAATTTTTTGTTTTGGGAGGAAATTAAAAGACAATTAAGAATCTCTTAGATAGATAGAGAAATATGCTGCATTTTTTATTTGCAGCTCTGGTTTTTGTGATACTTGAGCTCTTTTGTGTGAGGACAGAGCTTGATACTTGCAGCTCTGGTCCTCTTGACAACACTAAAACCTAGATATAATTCAGTGCATGGGTTCTATATATTATGCTAGCCATACATCTGAAAGGTGCCTAAGATGGCATGACATAAAATCTCTTTTTATTTTTCTCTTGATGTTCTATTATATTTATTCATACTTCTCGTTCTTATTTCATAGATATAATTAGCTTAATCTATTTATTTACTTACAAGGAAAAGTATGCAGAACTGTATTCTTATCCTGTGTTTGATAAAAAAAAATCATGCCCTTGATACTATAATTAACTAACCTACCTAATACCAAGTATGAATTAGGTGTAGCTATACACTCTGTATTTCATACCTCGGGTTTAATTAAAAATGTAACTATATATACACTTTGTTTTCTATACTAAATAGTATATATGTAGCTATACAGTTTATATCCTATACTTGGGCCGGGTATAAAAGGTAAACTAAACTTTATTTGGAATCGAGTTTTAAAGTAATTGGGACTAAAACTTTGGGTTTAATTATAAGCAAAAACACCCTTAAACTATCTTACATAAACCTTTACCCACAAGAACAAATGGGCAAACCCTTAGCCAAACGAGGACTGTGTCTTTTATATGCGTTTCAAGTATACCAGAAAATTAAGTAACACAGCTTCTCATTATCTGTATGTATCTAATTAATAACACCCCAACTAAATAATGAGCCTATACGTACATGATTTCAGTAGTATTTATATATCCACCAATCTATCGATAAAGTAATGGGTTAATTTCTTCTAAATTAAGGACCCCCTAGCTCTTTAGCTCGATCTGTTGTTTTGAACTTAATTCTTATTACCCCTCTGCTTTAATTAGTGTAACAGGTAGATCCTACAAGCGAAAAACTGTGGACTTTTCTCTTTGTGTCTCTAAAGGATAGTCAGTGTCAGGTAATTAATTTTCACTGAAGGAGTCCATCAGCATATGTAGTTAGCAATTAAACTAATTAGTTAACCCTGTGATTGTGGGCAGAAGAATTAAGGACAACACAACAAGGGACAAGCAGACAAAGAATAAAGAAGGCACATAATTAATGCATGAGGCAACAATCGTACTGATAGATCTCGCATTAATCCATGATTGCAAACGAGACTATGAAAAAGCTGCTGCAGTCCCTGAAATCAAAGGGGGGTAGCAGTGATCACACAATGAGAGAGAGAGAGAGAGAGAGAGAGAGAGAGAGAGAGAGAGAATAGCCCCCTACAAGCATCTTGTGGTGCTCAAAATAATATTCCTGATGAAGGTACAGCATATTCATCAAATACACCTGCTCAACATTTCATATCACATATCAGCACACCATCATATATATATGTGTCACATAAATAAAGAAACATAATAGATTGCGAAAAATAAAGAAACAAACGAACTAGGGTTTTACCTGTAGTACGTTTACTTACACGATCTTTTGAATTCTTCTCATTGCTTGGAATAGCCATTTATGGCCAATGCAGCATCATCAAGATTCTCATTTGTCACTTATTCAATACTAAAGCCAATGTGAATCTTGATGGTGCTACACTAGCAAACAATGACTGATTAAAACTTACCGCTTTTTTCCGTCACATATTCATATGAATTAACACTCCTCCTCATGATCAAGCAGCATGAAGCCCCTACCCCCTAAACCTAACCCTAAAAGGATGAGAGAAATGTCAAAAGCTCAACATATACATAGCTAGCTAGTAACATGACAAAACTCTACATCTATTAGAGTGTTTTAGAAAAAACAAAGCCCACTTCATGAAAATTCCAAAATATCAACAGGAAAAGTTTAGGAAAAAGTAAAAAATAAAAATAATAAAGAGCTATGCGTCTAGAGCTAGAGAAAGAAGATGAACAAGAGAAGAAGATGGCTGGAGAACAAAGGGTTGGAGAGTATAAGGGGTATAAATACAGACCTAAAAGCAATTACGAGGCTCTGGTTGAAGTGATGGGTTCTAATTATCGAAAGAGATAGATAGAGAGAGAGAGAGAGAGATATCTAGAGAGAGAAACTTATAGAGATCGAGAGAGTGAAAATACAATGAAGGTAGGGGTGCAACAATAGCAACAGTTATACATCACCATCCATGGTGACCCAAAAAAGGCCCAAAGGGCTTTAACTCCCCCTAGGCCTTGCCCACTTACTATACAGAGGCCTCAGGGATATCAAGAGATGAGAGGAAAACTTGCCCAAAATGGAAAACCCTAGCTCCTACTGAGAGAAAGATGGAAAATATCGAAGCAGAGAATACTTATACCCTAGCCCCATCAACTCGCTTGTAGTTGTAGTATTGAAGATTTGTTGCGTTTAATACAAGCTTTTGCAAGGTACCATGAATTGACAGCCCCTGATAAAAACTCTCAGCTTTTTGAGGGCTAATTTATTTATCAGTATTCTCTGCCCTCCACAATAATAAAAGGAGCAACACTTAAAGTGAGATTTTGTGGCTTGTCTCATGTGGCTTGCTGTTGGTGAAGTGATCAGGAACCTCTCAGCTAGGTTGTAACCTCTATGCCTTTCTATGGGGCCTAATGTGAGTAATAGGAGATCTGTTTAGCACATCAACACTCCAAAGTTATAGTAAATGATAAAGTAAGAGAGTCTCTTCGGTAAATTTCTCTTAAGTTGAATATTGATTGTGCACATATATTCATACAAGTAGGGGAGTATGAGGTGTGTTCTCACAACCAATATGGGACTAAAAACCCACTACTAACACTATTATCAATACTATTATCAACAGCCCCCCTTCAAACTCATGCTGGATCAAACAAAGTGAGTTTGCGTACAATAAACTAGAATCGATGAACATGTAAGGCCTTTGTGAAGAAATCTACAAGCTCATCGGCGGATGACACGTGAGAAAGTAGTATTGTCTTATCCTTGATAACTTGTTGACGGACAAAATGAGCGTCGATCTCAATGTGTTTGGTCCTCTCATGAAATACTGGATTAGTAGCAATCTGGATGACACTCTTATTATTACATTATAGAGGAGTAGGAGTCGAAACAGAAATGCCGAATTCACTGAGAAGAAGACGAAGATGAATAATCTTTTCAACTGTTGTGAACATTGCACGATACTCTGCATCAATGCTGGAAAGAGCAACATCATCTTGTTTCTTACTCCGCCAGAAAATTAAAGAATCACCAAGAAATATATAATAACATGTGGTAGACTTCCTAGTCGTGAGATCACCATCCCAGTTAGCATCAAAATATACACAATACTCTAACTTGGATATAGCAGTAAACAGAAGAGAGCGAGTGTTAGTACCCGGAGATACCGAAGAATCTGTAATAAGGTAGCATAGTATACAAAACACGGGGCACTAACAAATTGACTGATAATGCTAACAGCATGAGAGATATCTGGTCGAGAGATGCACAGATAGACCAACTAGTCAACAAGATGTCGATATCAGGTAGGAATCAGATAGAGGCTCACCATCAGTAGAGCGAAGTTTGGCATTCTGTTGGAGTGGAGTATCGACAGTTACATCGTCAGTTAGCTCAGATCGATCTAGAATATTTGAGAGATACTTCTGTTGAAACAGTAGTACACCTCGCGGGACTTGAGAAATTTCTAGACCAAGAAAATACCGAACAGATCCAAGATTATTCATGTGAAACTGTTGTTGTAACTGAGATTTTGCATATTGTATATCAGCCACATCATCACCTGTAATGATCATATCATTTACATAGATGAGTAATAAAACTCTGCCACGCGATGTAGTACGGACAAACAGAAAAGCATCTTGATGACTTTCCATAAAGCCCGCCTTGAGCATGACATCGCGAAAACACTCAAACCAAGCGTGGGGGTGCCTGCTTGAGACCATAAACAGCACGGCAAAGGAGACATACATGTCCCGGAGGAATATTGAACCCTTGAGGCGGTTGCATATATACTGTCTCAGATAAAAAACCATGGAGTGACATCCATCTGGTTTGAGTGTTCGGTAAATTTCCCTTAAGTTGAATATTGATTGTGCACATATATTTATACAAGTAGAGAAGGGTGAGGTGTGTTCTCACAACCAATGTGGAACTAAAAACCTACTACTAACACTATTATCAACACTATTATCAACAGTAATATTTGCATATTTTTAAAATTCGAAGGTGGTGTCTGGCGAACGCTCTAAATTAATTGGCTCATAAATGATCCTGGCCACATTTTGGTAAATACTTTGTTTGGAAAAAACAAGGTCATACTGACCCGATCTTCAATTTGGACCTTCAAAACGCTTCCTCCTGCACATTAATTGAATCTTTAGTTTTAAATTTGGCGAGGATTATACTTGCCCATATTTTAGTGCTTAACAGACGCAGACTGACTCTATTGTGTAGATGTATAGTAAACATCTCATTATATTCAACAAGTAATATTAACATACATGTGAGTCGAGAAAGAATGACGATGGTAAATTCAGAAAGAATAACCCATCTAAATATTAATAGATAATTATATGATTTACGACAAATTAAGAAAGTGATTATACATTATACGTACTGAACCCCAGAAAAATGGGAATAAATCCAAACAAGATATAACTGATTAACCTGGCTCCTGAGCTCTCTATGCAAACATAAAGTATCATTGCACTGGATATCCTTTTCGATTTTGGTGAGAGATCCTGCGGCTAGATCTTAGCTCTCATTTTTTTTTTTTTTTTTTTTTTTTTTTTTTTTTTTAGTGCTTTTTTTTTTTTTTTTTTTTTTTTTTTGCTTTTTTAGTTAGTGAGCTCCATATATATTGTAGTAATTTATGTCTTCACCATCTGAATGTAACATTAATTTCACATGAATTATATGCATTGCATAATTCTTCTGTTGATAATGGATCTTAACCTTTATGCGTTTCTATGCACACGGGCCAATACTTTAGACAGCAGTGAAACTGTACGAAGTTCTTAGTCAACTCACTGCATTGATGGCTCTTTTTAACTTGTGAGGAATGTCCATAGTGAATTTTGTGTGCTGGGGTCTACTGATCATGTCAGTTAATTTAAATGTGACTTATATTTGAATTATTAAATTTTTTCTTGGATTTTAGCTCTTTTGAAATTAAAGGATAAATTATGGGTTTTTTTTTTTGGATCAGCCCAATATAGCTATGACAAAACAGGAAGAAGGTTTGCTTCCCTCTGTAAATAAAGAAAAATTCTCCTAGGATTAGCTTGTTAGTGCTTACACAAGAATAAGTGGCCTGCTAATTTTCTCCTGATGTTGGCCTAAAATGCTAGAAAATTAATGAAACTCTTTAAATAAGCAGTACAACTTTATACAAGTGGAGGATTTAATTTGCATGGGGGATTGTCTACATAAAAATAGCAAGTAAGCAGGGAATAGATCGATGATCCTTGTTGTCACAATTAGGTTTAAGCAGAGAAAGCAATGGTTAAATTTATCGAAGCCTGTGGGACTTGCTGCAATAGGTAGGGAAATAGGAGTCTTTTGGCTACAGCAAGAGGGGAATGGGGATGGGGAAATTGAAATACCTGAGCAGGTGGGGAAAATTCCCCCCCTGGTTTTTCTGCAGCGTGGGGCTCGCGGTGGGCTGTCACATTTTAAAAAAAAATAGAAAAATGCCTGACCAATCAGGCCTAGACACGTGGCAGCATGCATGGTTATGGTGGGGTATATGGTGGGGTATATGTTGAAGTGATGTGGTTATGGTGGGTCTCAAATAAAATAAAAAACTTTCTGAAAAACTAGCTGCTGCAGAGTTGATAGGGAAATGTAGTTTATTGAATTAAATAAAGTGATGTGGCAGGAGAGATGGAGGTGAAATTCCATCTCCTGCTTGGAAGTTGTTGAGATTAGCACTAACAATTCATTAGTAGTCAAATATTGATGAGATATGAAGTTCATTTTTGTGACAATGTGAAATCATGTCATGAGTGGTGCGTTGACTTTAATTTGACATGACTTATTACTAGCTAGTAACAATGCCAAAATATGATTAAAAATTTTGATATCTGTAAATAACGCTATGTTAAATCATCTCAAGACAAGAGAAGGTTGTAAAATGCACCACTTGCTATCTTCTATAAATTAAATTTATATTATAGACATAATGTTCTTTCTATTCACTGTATAGGCAAGGATAAAATGTCTTAGGTCATACGTTTGTCAAGCAAACGGTGAAATTAGTAAATGTACTTACGTAAATATTAGTCCCTACACATTGTACAATGTACGTGCGCGCAGATCACAACTACCGCTAGAACTTTTTAACATGTGCATCCAATAGTATTTGCCACTAGGTGAACTAATATAATTTATCCATGCATGATGTATAAGCAGTAACATCATGCATTCAAGAATGGTTACTCCATTAACTAACAGATTAGTATATATGTCGACATATTTGTTTCGCATTGTTATAGCCGTTCTTGAAGAAATACAGAAACAGCAGAGAATCAGTCAGACAGAAGCTAGAAAGTCTGGCGGTCGACCGCCGCGGTCGACCATCGATGTTTTCTGGGCTGGGCTTCGGTTTTTGACCCGATTCGTTTCTAAGTTATATATATCCCTAAACCTGATTTGTTAGGGTAACTCAAGGACGAATTTGAGCAACCTTGAAGAGAGAATTGTTGCATCCAATTGTGGGAGAGTTGTGAGAGATCTAGAGCTTTGTTTTAGGGTTTGATCGGTGAGATTTGTAACTCTATTTGTATTCTTTTGATTTCTTATAGTAAGAACTCCCCCCTCCTTGCCCCGTGGACGTAGGCAACTTGCCGAACCACGTAAATCTCTTGTGTTATTTGGTGATTGTGCTTGTTTATTTGGTTGTGATCTCTCTTGTTTGGATTGTGTGATTCGACCGCTTCCGCGCCGCGCACAACAGTTCTGATGATGAGAAATAGTCTCAAATCAATAGCAGACAAA